GCCTGGGCGCCCCGCGGCTGTGGGGAGCCCGGGCAAGCCGACCCTTGGACAGGCCGGGGAAGCCAGCCGGAACTCCGTTCCTGTGTGTTCCTGCCCCAAAATAGTCCCCCTGAGGGTTACATTGAGAGCCAGTTTGGTGTCGTGGTTAAGTGCGTGGACTCTAATCTGGGAGAACTGTGTTTGATTCCCCACGCCTCCACGTGGACCTGCTGGATGACCTTGGGAAGCCGTAGTTCTGATAAGAGCTGTCCTTGAAAAAGAGCAGTTTCTGTCAGAGCTCTCTCAGCCCCGCCTAACTCACAGGGTGTCTGTTGTGGGGAGGGGGAGGGAAAGGAGATTTTAAGCCGCTCTGAGACTCCTTCGGGTAGTGAAGGGCGGAGTAGAAATCCAATCTCCTCTTCTTCTTCTTTTACCTCACAGGGTGTCTGTTGTGGGGAGGGGAAGGGAAAGGAGATTGTCAGCCACTCTGAGACTCCTTTGGGTAGTGAAGGGCGGAGTAGAAATCCAATCTTCTCTTCTTCTTTTACCTCACAAGGGTGCCTGTTGTGGGGAGGGAGAGGGAAAGGAGTTTGTCAGCCGCTCTGAGACTCCTTTGGGTAGTGAAGGGCGGAGTAGAAATCCAATCTCCTCTTCTTCTTTTACCTCCCAGGGTGTCTGTTGTGGGGAGGGGAAGGGAAAGGAGATTGTAGGCCGCTCTGAGACTCCTTCGGATAGTGAAGGGCGGGGTATAAATCCAATCTCTTCCTTCTCTCTCTCTTCTACCATTCCCCAGTTCATGGTGGGGGGATCCCCTGTTTTTGTGGGCTCCTGCCCACAAAATCCCCCTCAAGAAACATTGGGTGACGTGCCAACGTTTGCCCAGAAGTGGCATAAGCACATCGGTGATGTGTGTGTGTGTGTGGGGGGACCGCTGTGGTTTTTGGGCAAAACTCTATGTCTGGGGCGATTTTACCATACAGTTTTGCTCACAGAGTGCCCCCCCATGTGCCGATGTCACGTCCGGGTGATGCGCAACGTCACTTCCTGTGACGGCGGCAAGTCAGGGGCGACGCAACGAGCGCCTGCAGCATCCCCCTGATCCCTCTGCTGCCGTCTTGGAGAGACCTGGCAACACTGATTCCAGAGGTGGATAACTAAGAGGTTGAGGTTACAAGCATAGATTAAAAAATGCAAAACAAAAATAAAGAAAGGCCTTTTCAGTGGTCCCAAGTTAATACGGCACACACATTATTAGTGTTCCCTCTAAGCTGGGTCAGTGAGAGCCAGCTCACAGTTTTTTAGCCTCCCGCTCACACCTTTTTGTCTCCGCTCAGGAAGGAGGGCTCCAGAGCAAACGAATGAGTGCAGCAGCCAAATCGCTCGCTCCCACCTTTAATGCCAGGAGCTCACAAAGCAGAATTCTTGCTCACAGGATTCCACAGCTTAGAGGGAGCATTGCACATTACATGAAGGAATCTGTATCAGTTGGCCATGTAAGGTATTGTGGGGGCCTAAAAAATTAGATGATGAATCGCCTTTGGAATTCTGGCACAGTGTGGCCAATGCTCCCTCTAAGCTATGGAGTCTTGTGAGCAAAAGTTCTACTTTGTGAGCTGCTGGCATTCAAGTGGTGAGCGAGTGATTTGGCTGCTCACACTAATTCATCTTAGAGGGAACACTGCACAAAATGGCTGCCATCGGAGGTGGAGCCAGCTGCAAAATGGCTGCTGCAGTTTGCCTTCAGTCTCGTTTTAAAATCAACGTTTTAAAAAAAATCTGCTCTGCCGATCAAATATCCAGTGACCAATCAGCAAGCCTTGTTGGGCAGAAGAAATGTAAATTAAAAAGAAGAAGAAGAAAAGAAGAGATTGGGTTTATACCCCGCCCTTCACTTATCCGAAGGAGTCCCAGAGCGGCTTACAATCCCCTTTCCCTTCTCCTCCCCAGAACACACACCCTGTGAGGTAGGTGGGGCTGAGAGAGCTCTCTTGAGGACGGCTCCTTATAGAGAACAGCTCTGAGAGAACTTGTAACTGACCCAAGGTCACACCAGCAGCCGCATGTGGAGGAGTGGGGAATCAAACCCATTTCTCCCAGATTAGAGTCCGCGCTCCTAACCACTCCACCAAACCTAGTACTTCGTCTTCCAACTACCTAAAAAAACCCAAAAACCATCCAAAGGATCCACGTTTCCATCCTTAGCAAGACCTTCCAGAAAAATCTTTTTCATGGTGATGTGCCACTATTTCAGATCCGAGGAGGGGGGCGAGCGCTCCGTTTGCCTGTCCTTCGCATTGTTCTTCCTTCTGATCGCCATGGTGGTCCTCGTAATCCGGGACGATTACTTGGAGTTTGGCCTCGACGCAGGTGGGTCAGCGCTTCAGCTTCAGAGAGAGGATTGCTGTGGGTGCTGGGGTGTGTGTGTGTGTGTGTTAAAGTTATGTCTGTGGGTGGAAGGAGTGAATAGAGAGAATATTTCCTTTCCTTTTCCAAAAATGCAAGAACCTGGGAGCGGTAGGTGCAGCACAGACAAAAGGTAAGCTCTCCTTCGCACACAAAGTGATCAGTTTGCGGAAGTCCCAGGCATAGGATTGAGCGAGTCCCGGTAACTTAGATGGGGATTGGACATATACTCAGGGCTCTTTTTGTAGAAAAAGCCCAGCAGGAACTCATTAGCATAATAGGCCACACCCAACAGCAGGAACGTATTAGCATATTAGGCCACACCCCTGACAGCACAGCTCATTGGCATATTAGGCCACACCCCCATGTTACCAGAAGTGAGCTCATCCAGCCACACCCACCTTTTGCTTCTTATTCTGTTTACCTTGTTTGTTGTCCAAACCCAGGGCCTTTTTTTGTAGCAGGAACTCCTTTGCATGTTAGGCCACACCCCCCAATGTAGCCAATCCTAATGAGTTTCTGCTGTTGGGCGTGGCCTATTATTCTAATGAGTTCCTGCTGGGCGTGGCCAACTTTGAAGCCAGCCGGAACTCCGTTCCTGTGCGTTCCTGCCCAAAAATAGCCCTGGACATATTCTGCAAATATATAACCAAACTGATGGAAGCAGCAGAATGCGATACATTAACTTTATTGATGAAAGGGTCTACAAACGACACATTTGAAAATACACGGAAGCGTTTTTATGACTGGTGTAATAACAGCATAACAGATTGAAGTGTAAAGGTTTAACTCTTAACTGCTAATTAAAGGCTTGACTAATGAAATATGCAGACACAGATATAGCTTTTATTGTACGGAAATAGA